CACCAGCCCATGTTCCGTCGAGGGTCCCGTCTGCGCCTATCCCGCCAGGGGTCCCACCAGCTCCTGCTCTCGATCCCAGTGCTCCGGTGATCGAGCTGACACTGGAGGGGTCCCATTGCGGCGTACGTCGTCCTCCGGGGCTGTCCCGCCTCCGTCCTGCCATTCCTCCGGAGCTGTCCCGTCACCGCCTTCGTGCCCATCCTCCGGAGCTGTCCCGTCGCCGCCTTCCTGCCCGCCCTCCGGAGCTGTCCCGTCGCTTACTTCTTGCCGACCTTGTGCCCGGCCTCCTGAGATCCCCAGCGGCTTTCGCCCTCGAGTCTGGCCGCCTGACTTTTGCCGCTGTGGCTTTCGCCCTCGAGCCCGGCCCCCTGACTCTCCCAGCCGCTGCCTTCGCCGTCATGCGTCCTGAGTTCGCCCGCTGTGGCCTTCGCCCCTACTCAAACTCTGCCTTGCCCCCGGGCCGTCCGCCCGAGACCCCCTCCATGATCTCTGCCTTGCCCCCGGGCCGTCCGCCCGAGACCCCTTCCTGGTCCTCTACCGTGCCCCCGGGCTGTCAGCCCAAACCCGTCCTCCAGACCCCCTCCACCCATCCTTCTTGAAGTTTTTGGACTTTTTTGTTTTGTTGGGACGTCTCCATGGTTTTGGATTTATGTTTTCATTTTCCACTTTTTTATTTTGAAATGTTTTCCTCCTTGTGTCTCGTCTGATCCTTCTTCCTGTGTCTGCCTCCCTGTCTTTAGTTTCCCTGGTGTGTCTGATTGTCTGATTGTGTTCACCTGTTGCCCTTGTGTTTCTGCCTCCCCTGCCCAGCTGTGTCTTGTCCTGTGATTACCCTTCTGTGTATTTAGTCTTGTCTTCCCCTGTGCTCCATGTCTATTAGTCGCCGTTTATTTGTAAACGTAGGCTGTAGTAAAAGTAACAGAAAATGGTAAAGTAGCTCACATTACTTCAAAATTGTTCATCAGTACAGATGCTAGCCTTAATTAGCATGAGTGTCACATTTAGTTATCAACATTACTGAACAAGCAAGGTTGTTACTCTAAATCACAAATGTATCCTAAATACAGTAGTAAAAACTCACATTCGCTGACTTCTGCACCGCCAACTTCCATGCTAATAAGTAAATTAAGACATTTCATGAAGGCCAAAATGGCGTCAGTTTGCACAGCTTGTGACGAAAACACTAAATGGTCTAATTAGACACCTTTAGTGGAAACACCTGTACATGTGACTGTGATATTCATAGGAATGTATTGTGCTTTACAGTGAACCCTACTATACACTTTTGGCTACTATAAGTATGCCTTTTGGTGATATATATTTGTATGAATACTAATTATACTCCTAAGAATTGTTATTATATAATAATTATTATAACAATACTTTTAAGAGCCAGCATTTTTGGATCTTGGCTCTCTCCTATTTTGACTGTCCTTTGTCATAAGTGTCTGTTATGAACTCAGACACTCAGGATTTAGGACCCAATTGCATGACCCGGGAGACAGAGGTAAAGTATTGGTAAGATACTTTATTTTTCCAACAAAGCAAGATGAACAAAAAAGGTCACTATCGAATCTCAGGATGAGATGACAAAAAATGAGAACAAAAGGAAACCGCTCACGTAGTGAGGAACACAAACTTTTCTAGAGCACAAAGAGAGCATAGACCTGACGATGGCATGAGACAAGACGAACTGACAATGAACACTGGGGCCCTTTCTCATTTCATCAAATCCCCCTCCGGTAGTGACCCGGAAATGAATTTTAGCGCGCCATGTTGAAGGACATCTAATTTCTCTAAATGCACTTCGAGGACCGATGATCGAGCATCGAGGAGGCTCTCTGGAGAAGCTATAACCGAGGATACACTGATGGGTCCTCCACGGTCCTCCACGGCTCCTTCGTGGATGCATTTCCGGGAACAGAGATGTTTCAAAGAGTCCTGACGCACGGCCGGACTTATCTCAGCCAATGACAGCTCTGCATGCATCCCCTGGATATTATTTTATTAACTGCTCTCATCGGGACGCGATGTTTACAGAGAGAACAGCTGTGAGGTCCGTGCAGAAAGCAGAGCAGTGTGTAAAATATAAATCACTCAGTATAACAGGCCTACATTACTCTCTGTATTTGCTGTAGTTTAGTAGATATCTACAAACAAAGAGTCGATATTTTTCTAAAACCATTTAGTGCTTCACATAATAAAATACACAACGGCTGTAGCCTGATTATATGCTTTAGGAGCTGTAGGTGCGTGTGGTACAGTGTGTAGGTGTGTGTGGTACAGTGTGTGCGTAGATGCAGCGGACAGATAGTGTTACGTTATTATGAGAGTGCTCTGTTTGATTCTGAAATGGTATATATTTATATAAATATATATATGTGTGTGTGTGTGTATGTGTGTGTCCGCATCTGTAGCCTGTTATTGTCTCATTATACCGCACTGTGAATGAATTAAAAGTAAATATATAAATCGTCATGAACACACCTGTCCATCAGACAGAGGGCTGCTGTGCCTCCTGTCATCATTAATGGACGTCTCTTTAAAATGACCGCTCAGAGGAAAGGAGTTCTCATTTCTCTAACCGCCTGCTGCTTCCCCTCCTCTCTCCTCGGCTCCCCTCCTCGACTCCTCCGTTCACATCTCCTGTGGGCGGGACTAAGTCTCGAGGATAGGAGTCGAGGAGGGGGGTTAGAGAAATGAGAAAGGGCCAGGGAGACTGGGAAATTTAAACACATGACAACAAGACACAGGTGAAAACAATCAGGGGCAGGGCTGGTGCTGATGAGCACAGGAGACACACAAGGGGTGGACAATCAGGAAGCCTGGAATGAGAGACAAATGGTGAGTGACAAAACAAACATAAAACAACATGAAAATGAACCTCTCTTAGCATTTCTGTCGGTGCACAACAGTGTCTTTCAAGTCCACTTTTGGAATTGTTATCACACAGGGAGCTTCATTTTATGCCTCTGATAAATATTTGTGAGATTAAGTCTACAAGACACTAAAGATCAAAAGGTTCTACCTACATTTCCTCTAGTTTTCAGTATATTTAAATGATTTCATATCAAGGGTTTCCCTGCACTGAATTAATAATGTTGAGCATAGCGCCCTCTTCTGGGGAAACAAGAAACAATGCACAAAGTGTTTTGGAAGTAATAAGGTCTTTGTTTACATTAGCAAGCATCGCTAACACTCAGAGCTAACGCTGTACTTGAGAGAACATGTGTCAAGAAGACGGATGTAAAAGGCACTGTCCTTGTGGTAAACCCGCAAGAGAAAAAGCGTTTAAGCTCCATACCGTTTCAGAAATAATGCTTGATGTGGTTGGAACATAATATGGCGTTTTAATCACGGCAGCGTTAAGCTGAGTTTCTGCCGGTAGACAGTTAGTTAGTGCCTTAGGCTGGCCACAATAAAAGGCCACTCTAAAATGTTCAGTTTTATCACACAGCACAATGCCACAGATGTCGCAAGTTTTGAGGGAGCGTGCAATTGGCATGCAGGAATGTCCACCAGAGCTGTTGCCCGTGAATTGAATGTTTATTTCTCTACCATAAGCCGTCTCCAAAGGCGTTTCAGAGAATTTGGCAGTACATCCAACCGGCCTCACAACCGCAGACCACGTGTAACCACACCAGCCCAGGACCTCCACATCCAGCATGTTCACCTCCAAGATCGTCTGAGACCAGCCACTCGGACAGCTGCTGCAACAATCGGTTTGCATAACCAAATAATTTCTGCACAAACTGTCAGAAACCGTCTCAGGGAAGCTCATCTGCATGCTCGTCGTCCTCATCGGGGTCTCGACCTGACTCCGGTTCGTCGTCGCAACCGACTTGAGTGGGCAAATACTCACATTCGATGGCGTCTGGCACGTTGGAGAGGTGTTCTCTTCACGGATGAATCCCGGTTTTCACTGTTCAGGGCAGATGGCAGACAGCGTGTGTGGCGTCGTGTGGGTGAGTGGTTTTCTGATGTCAATGTTGTGAATCGAGTGGCCCATGGTGGTGGTGGGGTTATGGTATGGGCAGGCGTATGTTATGGACGACGAACACAGGTGCATTTTATTGATGGCATTGTGAATGCACAGAGATACCGTGACGAGATCCTGAGGCCCATTATTGTGCCATTCATCCACGACCATCACCTCATGTTGCAGCATGATAATGCACGGCCCCATGTTGCAAGGATCTGTACACAATTCCTGGAGGCTGAAAACATCCCAGTTCTTGCATGGCCAGCATACTCACCGGACATGTCACCCATTGAGCATGTTTGGGATGCTCTGGATCGGCGTATACGACAGCGTGTTCCAGTTCCTGCCAATATCCAACAACTTGGCACAGCCATTGAAGAGGAGTGGACCAACATTCCACAGGCCACAATCAACAACCTGATCAACTCTATGCGAAGGAGATGTGTTGCACTGCGTGAGGCAAATGGTGGTCAATGGTACAAACCAGTAAGATACTGACTGGTTTTCGGACCCCCCCAATAAAGCAAAACTGCACGTTTCAGAGTGGCCTTTTATTGTGGCCAGCCTAAGGCACACCTGTGCAATAATCATGCTGTCTAATCAGCATCTTGATAAGCCACACCTGTGAGGTGGGATGGATTATCTCGGCAAAGGAGAAGTGCTCACTATCACAGATTTTTTCAGATTTGTGAACAATATTTGAGAGAAATGGTTATTTTGTGTATATAGAAAATGTTTTAGATCTTTGAGTTCATCTCATGAAAAATGGGAGCAAAAACAAAAGTGTTGCATTTATATTTTTGTTCAGTGTAATAAAGTGAGTGGCCCCAAAAAAAGCTATTCAGTGTAATGTTTTTCTAAACACACTTGTATGATTTGTACATGAATGAGTGGAGGACTTCTACAAAGGCTGCAGCTGTGTTTAACATGTGAGCTGTTATACCTCAGTTCATACAAAACCCCAACAGCAGTATCAACCCTCCACACAGCCCGACAAAAAGAAAAGGCAAAAAACATGGCCTTTTTCTCTTCTTTTATTCTTTATAAGAAGACAAGTAATGATAACACAACACTAAAATGACAGGTTACAGTACCAGCCCAGCATCATTGTGTATTCACATTTACAGGAAAGCATTCTTTGCATTCTATTGATTTTGTAATAAAACCATCACAGAATTACTTCACAGTACAGAGTTATGGCTTTAAAAAAAAGAAATAGCAACATTTATATATTTTAGAATGAGTATCCATACAGCAATAATGAAATCCATATTAAAATGTATATAACATGGGAGTAAAGCAGCCCCGTTAAAGTGATGTACTATCAACTGTCAGTACTTCAGGCATCTGAGAAATAAGTAAGACAGATTGTTTATTGACATTTTCCGAAAAAGGCAAAAGAAGAATTTTTAATTAAAGTGTTGAATCATTTGATTCATTAGGTAGTTTTTAAAGCTGGACATATCTCAGCCCCCCCATTTTAATTCACAGCTTGATACATTTAATTGAAGCCATTGTTATGTCACATGTTGCCACAGATTGTGATCAGAAGTAGTTTGTGGAAGCGTTGGGTGACACAGTGGTTGAGCCGGAGTTCCCATCTTAACTGTAATTAAAACAAGACAAGCAAAATAACTAAATACAATTATTCAGAAGGCAATAAAACCCAGTGGCTAAATGTTGTATTGTGATCAGGGTGGACATGATACCCGAGTGGGGAAATATACAGCGTTATATGATACAAGTTACGTTTTTATTACCATTATCCTATTAAATAGGGCTCTATTTTGTTTATTTTCAGGTTTATTTTTGTATTGAAATATCAGTTAAGTCACTTTGCCATGGCATGGGGCCGAGAAAATAATGGCTTCATTTGTTTGTATTTGTTTTCAGGGACAAAGGGAGACAATAGACACATTCCCATGTCAATAAAGACAGAAAAAAGGTAACAATGCCACAAACATTTGTCCATTTCTCTGTTGACATGTAAAGCTAAACCAGGATTACGGCCCGTCTACACTACAGGCATCGAAAAAGCTTGAAGCTGGGCGTGTCTGAAGCTTGGCGATTTTTTGCGAGCAACGCGACCAACAACCAATCACATGAATCTCCCGCCCCCGACATACAAAGCAATAGCAATGTTAAAACGAAGTAAACTGGATATAAACTCCCCAAACAGGCGAAAACCTACCAGTTTCACCCACTGTCTCTGCCACCTCCCTCCATGCCTGGTTCCTCCGGTTTGTATCCCGGTAAATAGTTCTGGTCGGAAAGAACCGGGTGATTTGCTACCGTAATTTCTCGTTTGGCATATGAGGAAATGAACTGCGGTCCGGCTCTCCCAGCTTGCACGCGGTTTGATTGGCTAGCGCTTGTACTGGCGGGAATTGCAAAAACGGGATTTGATTGGCTGACGCCAGCTTCGAGCAAGCATCGAGCCTCAAAAGTTGAACATTGTTCAACTTTTGACGCCGATAGACGCTCGCGATGCTTGCAACGCCTTGCCATGCTACCCACAATGCAGTTCGGCGAAGTTTGAAAATATCCTACGTCACCCCATTCAAATGAATGGGCGAAGCGTTGAAAGCATTTTTTGACGCCTGTAGTGTAGACGGGCCGTTAGAAAGCTGTCAACAGTGAGCTGAAGAATCATTCAGGGAGTTAAAGATCTTCTGTTTCCGAAAAAACAAAATTTGTAGATTTTTGTATAGAATGTATTATACATTTAAGGAAGAAAAACAAAAGAAAACACATCTCCATAAACATTACCATACACTGTAAACTGACACTTTACTGTAGCATAATTGTTTGTCTATTAAATGTCAGAAACTTGTCTAATGGATTTCTACCAATCTACAGTCCAAAATTCAGAGATATCAGTTTACAATGGAAAAAAGTACTATTGTGTTTATACTGTAGATATTGTAATTGTTTTTTTTGCAGTCATTAATTAAAATAAGCCTATCATTACCTTTTCAGATTGCTGATCAGTACGTAGACCCAGTTCGCCGCTGGGTTCACACAAACTTGAGAGCCGTTCCTTCTGGTGACTCTGCGGAGAGGAGGAGGAGTTGGACTTTTATTATTGACAGGAGAGAAGATTAGAGTTTACTAGTTGGTATTTGGATGTTGCTCCCGTTCGGTGAAGCAGAATGCAGATGCAGAAGTCTCAGTTAAACAAAAGTGGTAAATGCAGTACCTTTCCTGAAGTGGTACGGTGCTGTCGATGTTTATTTTGAAGTTGCACGCTTTAGTTTTTTCCATTCTGTGTAATTTTGTACTTCTCCAGTACTTTCACTTTTATAAGTACTTATTAGTCAAGTTAACAGTGATACAATCTGTTATGTGTTAAAGTAGATTCCTGACACTGGAAACACTCGATTGACACAAACACATAAATTCAGTTACTTTGAAGTACTCAAATACTGTTCTTTAAGCAATAGCAGAACATTTTGGTAAATATGTTGTTTTGATTTCCCCCAAGAGACGATATGTTGAGGCCATGTTGCATAAAAACTGAAAGCATCCTGACTCTCCAAAGGTTGTATTGTTATGTTGCAATACAAATACTTACTTAAAGGACTGTATGCTTGTATAACTTGCTTTTAGTAGATACAATTTAGACTTATTGTAATTGAGAGTGTTTACATTGTTATTACTGCCTCTTAAAAAGCAGCTTACGCGATTTTTCCAACACTGCTGTTTGGCTTCTATAACAGTATTTGTGTGATTTTTGTATTTGTATTTATTTATAGAAGGACCATGCATACAAAAACATTAATCTCAGCAAAGAGAAGAGATGCAATATGCCAGATTATAGCTAATAGCTAATTTCAATCTGTGGTCCTGTGATGTAAAAAAAAAGTTGAACTCTGGACTCTTTTTTTCATAATCAATCAGAAATATAAAATATATTTGCACCTGTTTTACCATAAATAAGGTTCCGCAGTTTTGGAAATTAATCTTGACTACTCACATGATTTCAGTCCGTCGGCAGTATCCTGAAATGGGAATCACCTCGATTCTCTTGATGACTCGGACAGGCATAGAAGAGATGGTCTGGATGCACATACAGCGCTCCCTCGGAAAAGCTTGGAGATGGAACACAAGTTTTACCCCTGAGAAACCTCTGAAAATCTGAATGAAATGTGAATACTGCTTCATTCACTTTTTTAAACGTTTGGTTTTACTGTTGAAACAAAAATGATGTTAATGGTCGATGTCATTCTCAACCTTGGAAATAGTTTTTGACACAAAAGCTCAAACTCAAGGCACTTCTTGTTGGTAGATCTTTCTAGAGCTTTGAACAGCATCTCACTTTCTTCCTGAGAGGACAAAGTTAGCTCAGGTTCACTTTTCATTTGATAAAAGAAATTACTCAAATTCGGCTGAGAAAAAAGCCCAAGGTGAAGTTGAAAGCTCCAGGAAAAGCAAAGAGCAAGGTTTAAAGTAACTGAACCGTGAGTTATGATTGTTTCCAGTGTCAGGAGTGTACTCTAACACATAACAGATTGTAACACTGTTAACTTGGCTAATAACTGAGAATAGTGGAAAGTATGAAATGTGGTCAAAGAAAACAAGATAATAAACATACTCTAAATGAAAAGGAACAATAAATCAAAAATAGAAAATAAATAAAACAATGAAACCATCCTCATAGAAACATAATTATTGTGTTTTTGTCAAATTGCCTGCCTATAGCAAATCATCAAAAATGAAATTGGTGTTATAGCATGATAGTCTTAAATTAGAGCAACATAAAGTTCTTAAAAATGTACAGCTTCAATATAGGTAAACTATCATTAGATGCAGATGGCAGCTTAGTGTTTGACTAAATTAGGATGCACAAATTACATAAAGTAAGAGGAAGCATTCCAACATACTGGATTACACAGTTAAGAACACTTAAAAATAAAAATAAATGTGTTACCTTGCAGAGAGGCGATGCAGCAGCAGAGCGTCAGAGCGGACAGGAGGAGCGTGGCTTTAGTCATCATCTTGGCGGTTGTTTGATCTTTCAGCACCGATGAGGATGTGAGAGTGATGTGAGAGTGGTGTGAGAGTGCTCTGTGGTTCAATGTGCTGGAGTCTGGCTTTATACAGTAGCAAGCAAGGAAGCATGCCACACCTTTCCTGTCTTGACACATACAAATGTAAAAATGGTGGCATCTTAATTTTTTAGGGGGGTTTCTGCTAAATGAGTTTGGAGTTTCCTTCTGAGGGTCTTTATTTTTACTGATCTATCAAGAAAACTAAATCCACATTGACATCATGGAATAACTGTATTGCATTGACTTTGGTAACAATACATGCAATTACCATTGGATGTTTACGTAAACATATAGACATACAGTATACTGTAAGAGTCAGAAATGATGTTTGATTATAAATGTATTAAGCTTTAGCAGCATTTGTAAACTATTACTCTAACTACATTTTTGTTGTGAAATATTTTGGTTTCTTCTTTTCTAAGGTTACATTCTGACATACACTTATTGACATACACTTAAGTAAAACATTTTTTATTGATATTTATTTTTTCTTGTTTATAATTTGCATTGCATTTGATATTGAGGTCATCCAAAAGTATCGGAAAGCAATCAGGTTACATTACTTTATATGTTGATACTTAGATTAGGTCACTCGTTTTGTTTTTTTAAATGTTACTACGGATTACATTTTTAAAGTAACCCTCCCAACCCTGACCAAAACAAACGAAAAGAGGATGCATCACATCGGTTTATGGGTCTGCTTAATTTAAGTGTTCTACTCCAAAGATGATTTACAACAGTTACCTACAGAGGTGAGACGTGAATATGATATGAATTGATTCTGAATTTTACTTTCAGATGTTCATTAAAAAAGCATACATAAAAAAAGCATACAGTACATATGCAGTCAGGCTGCGTTCAAAAATATATATTTTCATTTGGACAATTTGGGCCAAAGCAGACTGATAGAATGTGTTTATGCACCAGTTTGTGATAACCCGGAATCAGGAACAGAGAATACTTGCTACTTGATACTGGAGAGTACTAAGAACCAACTCAAACAGAGCTGTACTTCTGTATTTTACCACAGACTGATAACCACATTCCCTTTTCTGGTAAGTCATTATTCAAAGTGGACTTTTATCACAAAATTAGACTGTAGTTCCCGTTTATGAAAATAAGATGTGTATTCTAATATCAATTTTGAATAAGCTCAGTCATGTACTGTAAATACGGAAATCTGCAGGAATCAAGTTGGGGACTCTCAATCTATCACGAGAGCGTTACAACTGGGTCTAAAAAAAAAGAGAAAGAGAAATAAAAGTTTCGACTTCATTAGCTTAAGACTGAATTTTGCATCCATATGCATATTAAACATATATATTTCCAGTATACATATATTTACATATATTGAGTTTATTGTCCATTGTTGTGAGTTTGGACGGAGCAGCTACAGGTTAGTTTAGCCTGATCGATCCAATCTCCATTCAGAAAACACGCATTTTAAAAGTTTTTCACCTGCCGTCTTGTCTCACGGAAAAATATGTTCATTTTGTTGTAGTATTTATGGAGATAAGCCCCGAATATTCGCATCGCTCTAATCGCTCGAGTTTCACCGCGGCTGTCAGCTGTGTTTACTCCTGTCATTCAAACAGGAGGCGCTGGAGAGTGTTGAGAGTTTCATAGTATGTTGAATACTTAAAACGAAAGTTAGTTATAATCAAATATAATCAATTATATTCTTGTATAACCCACGATGAAAATGCTTCATATTTTAGGTTTTTCTATAGTTACAGTATAAACAAAACCAAGTGGTTTGTTAAGTTGAGTGTAAGGCCTATAAAGAGTTATGGGTGTCACTGATAAGGAAGAAGAGAGTTTTTTCCCTCTCCTCTCACAGGGTGCTCAGGGAGGGGGGCTCCTGACTTAAGGAGAAACACATTGAGGCCTCAAAAAGGCGGTTATGTCATAGCCGAGAATAATATTTTTCAAGTCCTACTTTCATGTCCTTTTTACACAAACATGGGAAGGTGTGTCTTATGCCATAAGCTATAGAATATGTCTGGTCATGTCCAGCCCTGTACATTAGAGGCCATGCCCAGTTTTCCACAAAATTGGGTGTGGAGGAGATGTTTTGGAGTTTTCTATCCGGTTTTTGTGCATAAAGACAGGGGTTGAGAGTGAAAGCTTCAGAGCTGGGTTAATAGCTCTCGGTAAGGTTCTCTCAAACTTGGTAAATATCTCTTGAATTTCTTGGTTGAAATGCTGAGTGGATTTCTTTGAATGCTGAGTGAATTTCTTTGAATGCTGAGTGAATTTCTTGGTTGGAATGCTGAGTGGAATGATTTGATGGGAGATGTGTCTGTGAGTATTAGTAACCGCCACCTGTGAGGATCTTCCTCCGAATACCTGCGGGAGATAGGTATGTGTTTGTGGATGTTAGTACCCGCCATCTGTGTCGGATAGGAGTGTGTTTGTGAGTATTAGTAACCGCCACCTGTGAGGATCTTCCTCCGAATACCTGCGGGAGTTAGGTGTGTGTTTTTGAATGTTAGTACCTGCCGTCTGTGTCGGAAAAAAGTATGAAATTGATGTGAATTGATTGGGTGAAAATGTGAAAAAAGTTTGAATTCAGATTTTTATTGTCACCGGTCTTTTTATGAGGAAATGCCTCTAAATTCTATCAGGAGATTTTAAAAGGTCACAACTGAATTGGGCAGTTGAAGTTAAACATTTTGGTAATAAATGTAAGACTGTGAATTAAAGATTCATATTTGAACATGATCACAGCATCATTTTTTTTTATAGTATGATTATAATGTTGTAAAGAGAGAAGGTAAAAACCCTGTATTAGTTTGGACCTATTTTTCTTCAAATAAACTGATCCTACCTTTTGGACTGGGATAACTTAAAAGACAACCTATGCTCTCCTCTCCTGCTTCAAATGTAAGATTGCACACTGCCACACTCACACTTAGGTAGGGTCACACCTCATTACTGATATCAAAATCCTTCGGGATCGCTTAAACAGATTTAAAAGAGTTGTCTGAATTGAAACAGCAGTTAATTGAACCTGGTTCTTCGGGGAGTTAATAGAGGTGAGATCTTGCTGACGTTGGTGGATCTGAGCCAAGCAGTAAACTTACATAGACTCAATAACTTCGGTCAGGTCAATTAGTAGGTCAGAGTAATTTCCCAGAATAAATGATCAGGACCTCACCTACTCTCAACATGGCCCCCAACGTGGGGCTCTGTGAAAATTAATACTTTTACAGAGTCAAAATACAAGAACCAAAACGGCCTAGTGAAAAAAGTCGATGAGTACAAATCAGCGAAATACAGGCTGAAAGTCTTGTTAAAATACCTACCCGAATCCTAGAATATATATTTTAACCTAAAAGTGTAGTAATTTAAGTTGATACTATTGCACCGGACTGAGGGTTATATTATATCCGATATTGCTGTCTGTTAGAAAGAAGCTAAAGTAGGTTCTTCTTCCCCTAGCCAAATTGGGAAACCCCTGTGGTCCCTTTAACACAGGTTTGGTGGCTAGTAGTGAAGTCAGCCGTAGGAGCACTGCTCAGTACCTGTCCAATTACTTTGAAACTTATAGGTAGGACTTGACAAAGAGCTGCGGTTTGAACTTTTGCGTTAAAATTAGGGATGCACGATATTGGTTTTTTGAAACCGATACCGATACCGATAACTTCCTGCTTCTCAAGACCGATACCAATAACCGATAATAACAAAATGTTTACGCCACTAATTATTTTAACGCGATTAACGCATGTGTATTTTTTTTCCTCGGCCGCCCCGTAGTTTCAGAGCGCATCGAGTTTAAAATCTACAAGCTGATGCTCCTGTCGCCCGCTTGTGGCAGACCACACTTCCACGCTCACCGGCAGGCAACGACTGGCCATCTGGAGGACCGGGAGGGTGTGTGTATGTGTGGCCCGAGCGAGCGAGAGAGAGACCTTACGTGCATTGTTGTTGTTAGCATCTGGTGCTAGCTAGCTGCGCTAACGGATATACGGAGCTGTTTAAATGAAAACAGAGGAGTGACATTTCGCCACAACTGCGCCGAGCACTTGACTTTATGCAGGAAGCCAGACAGTGGGACATTGTACGAAAAGTCAGCACACTCAGCGTCAACATGATTGCAGCCACCAGGCAGCTCCGGTTCGAGCATATGCCTTGAGTTGCACATAGCTCCAACACCCATACCACCGACGACATGTTTGTTTACTGTCCTGGCTTCACGGCCGCACACCATTTACGTCACAGCCAGGCATGAGTTAGGGAGCGCTGGATTTGTGAAAAACTCCCCTCTTCCTAAACCACTAATACCACAGTACTGGCAAAACGGGAGGAGCCGAGTGAAAAACAAGCGCCCCTCATCCCAATCCACCCACACCGCAGTATTTTTTCTTTTTTTTTACCCAAAAAATATATTGTATATTATCGGGGCTATTAATACTGGTATCGGGTTTATCGGGATGACGTCATAATTCCTAATATCGGACCGTTATTTATCGGGCCGATAATTATCGTGCATCCCTAGTTAAAATATAACGTGGGGAAGAGTTAATGGGAGATTTAATAAAGATAAACATAGGTCTAAAGGTACCTATGCTTTTGAAACAGCACGAAACTCGATACATAACACTCTTAACTGAGGTATCCGCATGTAACTAGCTGAATCCAGAAAGAGTAACCTAGAACCAAGTGACGGTATAGTCGGACTGATTCATCCGGTGTGAGTAATAGCCTAGGAACTTGCATGTGTATTAAAGAGTGAACTTGAACCCTTAAATAAAATGTAAAAAAACAAAAAATAAATAAATGGCGGACGAGGTTAGAACGCAGTTTAATGACTCGGAGCCAACCACAGATTGGGAGGGATACACAGAAGCTAAATCCGGACCTTCTGCCCCCCCTGGTCGGATTAGCCCAGACCCACGGGCGTACCGCGACCTAAATACCTTCCTATCAGACTACCGTTTAGACCAGGGGTCCCCAAACTTTTTCCTGTGAGGGCCACATAACTTTTCCCTTCTCTGATGGGG